TAAGTGTTGACTTTACGTTCATTTATATATATATATATATATATATATATATATATATATATATATATATTTATGCAAACTTAGGTAATCCGTATGGGTAGACCTGAGGAGGATGATATCCAGAGACCTCAATGTAAAATTCAGAGCAGATATGTTTGAATAAAAGATATATATTTATATATATGGGGGATTGGTTTTCCTTTTGGAAGGGTTTATAAGTATTATTGTTCAGATTAAATGTAACGTCTAAACCAATCCCCATATATATAAATATCCACTCCAATCACCCGAAATCAATAATTAAACAAATCCCAAATACAGTAAATGCTAGAATAAATAAACTTTCCTCCAGTAAAACCATTTTTAACCAGAATAAATCGGAATACAATAAAGCCCTGTAAAAAAGTAATTTTAAACAATAGCTTATTACACGGAATCTTAACGTGGTCTGTCTTTTATTCAAATATATATATATATATATATATATATATATATATATATATATATATATATTGGTGCTTAGAATTTAGAATCAATTTAATTTTTAGCGTATATAAATGTAGGTAGAATAAAAGCAAATGTTGATAAGATAGTGAGGGTCACAAAGCACTACCCGGGATCACTAATCAGACTTTTCGGGGTTAGTACGCACGGTATATTCCCAAGCAATTTTCGTTCCTCTGTCCTTGCAGTCTATATGTTTAAACGCTCTATCTTCACACTTCCCTTATAGAAAAAAAAAAAATTAAATAATATATATGTTATACGGTTATATATAATATAGATGTTCGTTAAATAATATATATGTTAATTCCTCAAATACTCAAGCGAGGACGAAACTTTATTTGTGCATAGTTTAATTTGTAACATATATAAATGTAAGTAGAGAAAAGCAAATGTTCATGAGATAGCGCGAGTCACAAGCACTGCCTGAAGCATCCAATCAGGCTTCCCAACCCCAGGTCGGGGTAGTATGCACCGGCCCTGTGTATGAGCGTGTGCATGTGCCTTCATTGAATCGCTTGTAAGTAACACACACACATTACAGACATACGCATATACATTACATGTATTGCGTTACATACATACAATACGTATATACATTGCATATACATTATATGTGTACATTACATATACTATATACATTACATTGCAAGACCCAACTAAAGACTTACGAGGACTGTGTGTGGTGGACAGGGACGCAACTTTTTTTTGTAAGATAGATAATTTTATAGACATATCCGCTAATCCTTTCCAATAGGACAATGCCTTCTCTGATAAAATATGTTTATAAAGTCCGTCCAAGGAGTTAGGTGAAGGGGTGCTGGGAGCTTCAACACCCGACACTTTTGCTGGAACTAAGGATTTTTGGCCTCTATCTATAACAATGCTATTAAACTAGGCTGTATGAAGTCTAAAATCATTACTGCTATTAATTTTTAGAATAAATCAGTTTCTGTTTTCCACCTAGTTTCTGAAACATCTAAATGACAGAGGAGGGCTTGGAAAATTTGATACCCACAGGGACAGTTTGAAGGAAAGAGCGACATAGGGAAACAGCGCGTAACGTACTTGACGGGCTTTGAGCAAATGGATGGTAGAACAGGGTTTTTTAAGAAATAACAAAAAGACAAAACTTATTAAGAGCTATAAGGAACAAGAAGATATGGAGGGTCATGAACGCCTACGTCCTGAAGGGACATGTCACATAAAAGAAAAAGTCATATGCGGGAAAAAAATCTGTTGGTCTCCTTCCATAAAATAAGTTGATTTTGCAAGCTTAGCTTAAGATGCTGTACCCGTATGGATCAGCCTGTGAGGCTTGAACTGACTATTTAGGTGTAATCTGATCTAGTGAGATAAGCTTGCTAACCATTACACCGCATCGAAGTACATTAAACTTCCAAAAGATTAAGTACAAAAAGCCACCTAAAAATGTATATTTAAAATCAAAACAAAAAATTCTTTACAGTCGAATAATATAGTGTAACCCGGATATAAGAGAAACCTGGATATAAGAGAGATTTTCTCTGGTCCCAAATTAGAGCCTGTGTTAATGTAAACAAAATAGACCAAACCCGGATATAAGAGAAACCCGGATAAAAGAGACTTCTTCTCCGGTCCCGACAACTCTCTTATATCCGGGTTGCTTTGTATCTAAAAAAATGTTCATTTTAAATCCACTAATTTTCGATACCTAAGGTTTAAAATGAATTTTTATAAATGAGAAAGTTTTTTTATGAACCTTTCATTTTAGTTTTAGTTAGAGTTAAAGGATTAAATTTCCTATTTCTAGTAAGAAAAATACTCCGGTGTATTTCAAACAGAAAACTTAATCCCACCGCCTAAACAATAGCTTCTGAAACATCTAAGTCTTATATGCGGGAAAAAAAAATCCGTTGATCTTCTTTCAGAAAATAAGTTGATTTTCCAAGCGTATCTTAGATGTTGCTTGGAGCACCCAGTGAGGATCGAACTGACTGTAATTGAACTGGCGACACAGGTCGATGTACCCAATGCTTTCCAAAAAAGTACAAAAAGGAAAAAAGAAAAAAAGAAAAAAAAAAGTGTATTTATATAATCAAAACAAAAAATGTTTACTGTCAGA